CTAGACTTACTCCGTCGGTACACTAGCTATCACAATCCTCTACATATATGGAGCCCGCATCTCTCCATACGTAGCAGTCTCTAGATTTTCCACGCCGTGATCCATCTACCATCCAACTACAATCTTCCATTGGAAGGCCAGAATGCCCTCCCTCCTCCACCTCCCCAACGAGGTCCACCTGCACATTCTCTCCCACCTCCACCATGACTGCCGCGCCCTCGCTCTAACCTGCCGCACCTTCCACCGCCTCTGCGACCTCCCCACCCGCAAGAAGTTCCGGCGCGTCCGCGTGCAGCCGGGCAAGAACCTCGACCGCGCGTTCGATCTCCTACTGGCGATCCTCCGGCGGCCGAGTCTGGGCCGGTACGTGCGCCACATTGAGTACCAGGGGGCGGTGGAGGCGCACGTGCCGTACGAGGAGCAGCTCGGGGAGCGGGAGGCGGAGCTGCAGCAGGAAACCGGGATGATGGGGCTGCTGTGGGCGGCGGTGCGGCGGGCGATTGGGGTGGACGAGAGCAATGCAGACGAACACAGAGCGAAACTGGCGGCGCAGGTCATGAACATGCTGATGCAGTCGTCCGAGCAGCGGGCGAAGGGGAAGTGGAATTATACGTGAGTTTCCTGGTCTTCTCCGCAAGCAAGCAAGAATAAATTGGGGCTGACGATGGGTCCAGGTATCGAGGTATGCACGGGATCTTTGCGGTTCAGGCGGTGGCGGCGCTGCTCGTCTCGGTGGCCCCGGACCTGGAGTCCATGGCGCTCGTGCAGCCCTTCTTCAATTACACGGGGTTCTATCACACGGAAGGGCGGTTCGCGAACCAGAACCGCGTGGCGTTTCCGCTGGACTACATCCTGCGCCGGGCGAACGGCGAGGGGGACGCGACGCCATTCCTGCGCCGGCTGCGCCACGTCTACTTCATCAATGCGGGCCGCGGGTGGATGGACGACGAGCGCTTCTACACAAGCATGGACTTCCTCGGGATGTTCGCCCTCGTCGACCGGCTTCCGGCCATCGAGATCGTCGGCACTGATGCCCTGTGCACGGACGAGAATGGCAAGCCCGGGCTCGAGCCGAATTCGTCCAACATCAGCCGGGTCCGCATCAACCATTCGGCCGTCGACACGATGTATCTCGCGTCGGTGATCAGTGCGTGCAAAAGTCTCAGGGAGCTTCAGTTTTCCCTGGGAGGAAGGGCCTCCTCGGACGGAAGCAGCTCGATGCAGAACCCCAAGACTTTCCTCCAGACGCTTCTCTTGCACAGGGAGACATTAGAGGTTCTTGATGTGGATTTCGAGGCCAACATAAGTGAGTTCTGGAATGATGACGATGAGGACACGGAGCCGGATTTTGATACATACGGCGGACGGTCAGAGGCGCATCATAGCTGGACGGGTGCGCCGCCGGACGAGCTGTGGGACCAGAAGGGCTCGTTGCGGAATTTCACTTCCCTGACCCATGTGAGCCTGGGACTCAAGACTCTGCTATACATGGCTAGAGGGGTCGACTCAGCCAGATCGTCAGACTTCAAGCTGGCCGATCACCTGCCGCCTAATCTGGAGTATCTGCTTATCCGGGGCTACGAAAGAGGTCTTCGCAAGGATCACGACGAGCATATCGATGGCTTACTGTCCTTGAAAGAGAGCGAAGGTTCCAAGCTGCGAGAGATCAGGGGCATTGACGAGTTGATCCCGCACGCCGAGGACGTTGATGAACCCGACGATGAGTCGGCTGCGTTGTGGGAGTGGGAGGAAGAGGAATGGTCAGAGGACGAGTGAGGGGATTCGCGTGTAGAGAGGTGTATGTAGCCCTCTCTGTCCTGATAAACAGTGGCTGCAGATATCGGGCCGATGGCAGCTCCACCCCATACTCTTCTGTTTCTAACCGAAGGGCGCAGTTCGGTTGCACCCGACCGCCCCGCCCAATCATCAAGCTTCATCTTATCATCTTATCCGCATCGCAACACATCAACTGATAAGATTGAGATGTTGCTGCTTGCAACGTACCTGGCAGTCTGTGTAATGGACCCAAACACTTATCGCATCCTCAATGGGTCACCAATGAGGTCGATGGTCGGCCCAGCAGAGTGGAGGTACGAAAACAGACACCGATTTCGGTGGGGTAAATGCACCATGGCATAGACACCTCCATCCTCGGCTGCGTTCTATTGACTTGGCGCAGCAAACTTTTGCGATGGAGGGGACGAACCTTATAAATAGGGAGCTGAGACCTTAATCATGAGTAGCTAGCTGGACATACCTTCTTCTAATCTGTATTCCACCGGTTGAACCGGCTTTTCCTTTCCTCAATGGCTCGTTTCCCGCGATCTGCATTAGGCCTGTCTGCGCCATGCCTGATGGGATTGATCGGCTCTGTGGCAGCGCGGTTGGTATCCACCGGCATGTCTGTCACGCTTCAAGACATTGATTACTTCATCTCCCCATATGCCGCTGGGAATGTGACCGTTTCATCTGCTCTGTTGTCCAATGTCCCAAGCGTCAATGGGTTTGCCCCGGTGACTGTCGTGCAGGAGGACACGGCCGAACTGTCCTCGCTATCCTCACTCTTTTCCACATGGTCGACCAAGGATGACGTGTTCACGGACGCATTCCTCAACGCCGTGTTTGTCCGTAGTAGCCGGCACAGTTCTGCCAACATCACCTCGCTGAAAGAAGGCCAAACGAGTGTTGTGGTTCCCCTCGAATCCAGATCGGTTGCCTCAGGTCCGTACTTCATCGAGCAGACCACCGGCAAGCTGTACCCTGTGTACCGTCTATACAGCGACTTTGCCGGAGCCTTCAATCAGCCTCTTCTGCAGAAGCCCGATGGCACATTCCAGCCTCTGTCGGCCCAGGTCGCGGGCGTAGCATCAGTCACAGTGGGTGTGCCGTCTCGGCTCTACTACACCCCGACCGAAGACAAACCACTGGCCGGCGTCCGGGTAGGCATCAAAGACATCTATAGCCTCGCAGGCGTCCGACAGAGCAACGGCAACCGGGCATGGTACAATCTGTACGGCGAGAACAACGTCACGGGCACGGCCGTCTCGCGGATCATCGAGGCCGGAGGAATCATCGTCGGCCTGCAGAAGCCCTCGCAGTTCGCCAACGGAGAGACCGCCACGGCCGACTGGGTGGACTTCCACGCGCCCTTCAACCCTCGCGGGGACGGCTATCAGGACCCGTCGTCCTCTTCATCCGGGGCCGGGGCCTCGATCGCCTCGTACGACTGGCTGGATCTGGCCCTGGGCAGCGACACGGGCGGCTCCATCCGCGGACCAGCCGAAGTCCAGGGAGTATTTGGCTCGCGGCCGTCGCACGGCCTTGTAGCGCTCGACAATGTCATGTCTCTATCCCCCGTCCTCGACACGGCGGGTTTCCTCACGCGTGACCCGTACCTCTGGGACACGGCCAACCAGGCGCTGTACAGCACCAACTACTCCTCCTTCAGCGGAAAGGCCGTCAAGTACCCCAACACGCTGTACACGCTGAGCTTCCCGACGACCAACGACTCCGCCAGCGACGCGATGCTGCTGGACTTCCAGCAGAAGCTGGCCACCTTCCTGAACACGACCACCACGCCATTGAACCTGACCGCAGACTGGACGGCCAACCCACCGGCCGAAGCCCCCTCCGACGTCACCCTCCCGACGTTGCTGAACCTCACCTACGCCATGTTGATCAGCAAGCAGCAGATCTCGCTGGTCCGAGATCCCTTCTACGCCGACTATGCAGGTAAGCACCCATGCCCAATAAAAACCGTACCAATCCATTCTCAAACCACCACTAACACCTCCAAAGCAAAACACTCCGGCCGCCTCCCCTTCGTCGACCCCGTCCCCGTCTCGCGGTGGAACTGGTCCGAAGCGTACCCGGCCTCCGCCCTCGACGAGGCCATCACCAACAAGACCATCTTCATGGACTGGATGGCATCGAACTACCTCCAGCGCGTGGCCGACCCGGAGCAATGCTCCTCGTCGCTGATGGTGTACGTGGGGTCGGCGGGGCCCGAGGCGGGGGCCGCGCGGAACCTCTACCGCTCGCTGCCCGGCGCCCCGCTGGGATGGGGCAGCAGTCGCATCTCCAACATGGCCGAGGTGCCGGATTTTGTATTTCCGGTGGGCGAGGTCGCCGCGTACAGCAGCATCACCAACCACGACGAGAAGTTCCCCGTCACCGTGGATGTGATCGCCGCCAAGGGCTGTGATGGGTTGATCGTGCGGCTGGCGCAGGATCTGCTGGAGGCCGGGATCATTGCGAGGCCGTTGACGGGGGGAACGATGGTGGGTGGGGAGGTTTTGCTTTAGCATGCTTGCCAGCAGGGGTCGGGCGGGGTCCGTCCTTGGTGAGTTGTTCATTCTCGTCTGCAAATATGGTTGATATATATGATGTTGTGAGTTTGTGGTGTGATTGGAAGATGGGGAAAGAGATCAGTACACTAACATTATAAGATAGCTTGAAGGAAGGAGGACTATATAGATGATAGATTTGATACCTGGGGCTGATGTTGAAGACTAAGACTCTTGCTGCTCATGCTTTAGATGTTTCTGATAATTGGAGAAGAATAAATAGTTTCTTATCTGTTGAATGGAGAGTGAGTAAGGTGATGAGCGAGGTTGGGGTGGAAGCTGATGTTGACAAGGAGAACAGATTATGATGTCTCAGTCGGCAGGTGACTTGTCTTACCGCACTCTCAGATCACGGTACATGATATTCCCCCAAAGCACCCTCCACCTCAAGTGTCTTCCTATAAGAAAGTATTGTACTGTACAATTGATGTTGTCAGTGCTTTTCGCACACCCGGCGAATAGAGCCATGGTAATGCATATCTACCATCCTGGATCATCGAAAAGTTGTAATGTTACAGTCAGGCCCCAGGCCATCACACCTCTACCGTAGCCCCGTCAAGCACAGTCACCCCCTCCCCTCCAAGGGAAAACACCTCAGAAGACAAACCGCAACCGCCTGACAAGACAGCAACCAAACCCACCCTGGCTGTTATCTTAACCAAGATCCCCCACCACCCCCCTGGCCCCCAACCGCTCCACCACCCCACTCTTCAACCGCAACACCCGCTCGATCTCCCTCGCGGGAAGGCCCTGCCGATCCCGCATGGCCAACACCTGCCGGATCGTCAACGCATCCAGATACTCTCGTCCGACAAAGTCCGACCTTCCCAGGTTGTCCACTTCTTCCTCCGCCGCCTTGGTGAGCCGTTGCCGCGCCGTGACGGTCAACAGGGCTGGATTGGGAGCGGGCGCGAAGGCGGCCGTCGGGGCGCCTGGCCCCCCGAAGGATCGCTGCGCGGGGTTGAAGGTGCTCGAGGGAGAGAAGGTTGGGTTCGGGGTGACGGGGCCGATGCTGCGGAGGGAGGCGGCGAAGTCCGGGTCGCGGCCGTCGATGTCGATTGCTATCTCGTGTTCGGCCTGTTAGCTTTGCGACTTCTGGGGAAGGGGGTTGTTTGCGAAAAGGCGGGTTGAAGGTTTAGGATGAAGGGAAGGCAAGGCAAGGGATGGGGGTAGGCGTACCGCTTGATTTCTCGAGGGACGCTTGCTCTTGGTTTTGCGGGTGGTATGTTGCAGATCTCAAGGAGCTGGGGTGTGGGTTGGGGCGAGGACTGCGCTGCGGCTGCTCGTGAAGCCTGGGTTGTGGTTGCGGTTGTGGTTGTGGCGCTCGCGGTGCTGATGCGGGTGTGGAGGTGGGAGGTCTGGTAGTGGATGTCGTGGGCTGTTTGGGATATTGACGCCGTGAAGCTGCCGCCGCTGCGGACTTCGCAGGTTTCGACGCTGATGCACCCATGGTGTTGGGAAGCAAGTGTGAGATTCGTTGCGGTGGTTAGCCTCAGCTTGTGAAGACTGCGGCGGATCAACCGCCGTTGCGTCTCTTCTGCAGAGGATCCGATCTGTCAGGCTAACCCGATCGGGGTTAAACACTAGCCGCGCGGGTGACGTCAGCCATTCCCGATGTTTTTATATGTGAATTAAGATACGGGGTACTGCTAACGGCTATGAGGTCGGTGTCGTCCTGCAGGATTTTGATAGCTGGAATGTACACTTTCTTCTACACTGATACAACTAGTAGTCATCCGACCACGAGCTAGATGACGTCGGATACACCCTAACAACCGATAATGCCACACCCAGACTTTCGACCCGCACCACTGAGCAATCTACCGCAGGCCGGCAAGCCGTCTGCCCTGGACCTCACCGAGAGCACGGCTGCCGCTGACGAATGCGACAGTACCAGCCACCGCGACAGCAGGAAGGATCTGGAAGAGGTTCCAGGAGGTATAGTACAAGAAGAAGATGCCCTGGATGGCAAAGAGGGAGCCGAGGAAGACTGCGTGGGGAAGGGGTGCCGACTTGAAAGCAGTAGGGAGGTGGTTCAAGTTGACGCCGAGGACCAGCCACTGTATCAGAGGAGAATTAGCCCCCCATCGAGGCGGCAACAGAGAAGAACAACTTACCACTCCGCCCAGAACCGGAAGGGCAGCAAGCACCAGAGCGAGGAAGACCAAGGTGATGATCAAGGGGGGACTCTGAGCATCGGTCTTGAAGATGTGATGGATCTCCGGAAGCTTTCCGTAGCGCGACGACTCGACGGTGGGCACAGGCTCGTCGGGGTTCCGGGCCACCGTCAGCTTGAATGCAGCTCCGTTGTAGGCGTCGGCCTCGCCAAAGGATCCGATCAGGACTCGCGCATCAAGGGGCTCGGAGACGGAAAGGAATTGAACGGGCAAGTCCTTCTGGGTCTAGCATGCACGTCAGCCTTGTTTCATCCGGTCCAGAGTTGCGGGATAAGCACTGACCAGCTCAATTCTGGATTTGCCATTATCCTTCACGCTGAAGGGGTAGGAGATATCCAATCCGGTCTCAGGATCCTGGAGAAAGAGGAAAACCTGGTGCGCGCGTTTGGCGGAGCGGCCTTCCTGGGCTGTCAAAGTCACCTTCAAGGTGTCGGCAGATCCGAGGGAGACCGGCTTGGAGAGAGCTTTGTTGTCGGGAATTCTGTCAATGGCACAAGTAGATTAGCATTTGAAACCTTTCCTGTAGTTTTCGCCTTGACAATAATTGTACATACGCTTCCTTGAATCCAGCGCCGACGCCAGCGCCTTTGGTGTGAACTGACACGGTGGCATCAGTGAATCCCCACGCGGAAGCAGCTACAGCGGTCGGCAGGGCGGTCGAAGCCAGCACGGACAGCTGAAGGAGAGAGTGCCACAGCTGCATTGTGATGTATGATTGAGGAGGGAATTGGGGGGGGGGAGGGAAGAAGGGTAAAACGCAACGCAACGACCGAAAGCAAAGCGCAGGAAACGAAAGCTGGGCTGTGGAGGAATTGATGCGGTCGGCGGAGAGACCAGATGATAGTTAACTACGGGGAAACAGTCTTACTTGGCCAGAAAGGCAGAAAAAGGCCGCCGACCGAGCGAGCGACACGCAAGCCCGCGGCCAGGTTCGGCGCTAAGATAAGCGCCCGGCGCGCGTGCATTGGGGCAAGCAGCGGTCCAGTGACCACCGGCTTTCACCGCCCGCCTGCCTTTGGCTGCGCAAGCCCTAATTTCCCGGCCGTCTCGATGGGAGGTTTCGGCCCTGGCTTTGCTTGCTTGCTTGCTTGCTTGCTCTGCTTGCTTGCCTTGCCTTGCCTTGCCTTTGCCAAACATAATTCTTTCCTCTCCGCTCCCTCCATCCCCCAAACTTCTCGACTAGGCATTATCCTGCCACTAGTTGCGCGGTCGCAAGGCTTCCGATCGACTGGAAAGTCGTTTCTTTACCTGTGCGCCATGTCTTTGACCCCTCTCCTTTAGTTCCGCGACGAACCTCCCTGCGCTTGCAGTGCGCCTTGAACGTTCCGGGGTTTCCCTCGCCTCTCCGCCCCAACCGATCGGGTCACGCGGGTTTCTCGATCGCAAACCGCCGCCGCCGAGCGAAATCACTTGCATGCGAAGTGAATACACTATAAGTAGGGATCTCTCTGCGGTGTTGGGTTAAACCAGGCGGGTGTCGTTTTGAGTGTGCGTGTCAGCTTTCCCAGGAGGTTGCCGCTTCCTGCTTTCTTGCTCCGGGTTTACCGCAATCCTCGGTCCTGTCTGGTTTCGCATTTCACTGACAACCACCGCCCAACCTTGCAGGCAAAGTCCAAGCCCAGTCCGACCGTCGCCTTCACTGCGAGACTTTAACAACTGTAGCGAAAACCCACCATCAAGCAATAATAACTCATTGTCTATCAGCTCCGTTGCACTCCGAACCGGTGAAAGAAAGCAGTGCTGCGATACTAGGGCTGAACCGGGGCACGATACCTGAACACAAGTGACGAAAGAGTTGGGGAAGTTGGTGAACCAAGCACAGTCAAAAGTAAGAAGAAAACAAGAGCGTCCAGTTTGGCTAGGCAACAGTTCATTCACTCCAGAACACTCTGGAAAGGAACATGTGACTTTGGAGGCGGGGGGGGGGGGTGGTTTATTCACTGAATGCGATGCTAATAACATACCAGTGGTGGGTAGGGCTTCACTGGCCAGGGAACTCGGTTCCCCCGCCGCGTTCTCTCTCGACCCAACAACTCCTGTATGTTGATCCATTTACTCTCTACCTATTCCCCATCCTCAAACCCGTGCTTACCCATCTTCCAGCGTGAGACTCGACGAAGCTCATCTCGTGCGTCACGTAAAACAACCCGTGAACCTGAATCTCACGCCTCAAATCACTCTCAATCATCTTACTCTCTACCTCCAACTCCTGTCACTACCTCATTTGAAGAATCTTTCCCGTCGGCCAAACGACGCAAAACGCAACGATCTGTGAATCAAACTACGCAGACTCCCAAAGGAAAGGAATCCACGGAGACTCCTAATACGTCTACTTCTAAGGGACCCGTGGTCTCATCTCAAGCCACTGACAGTGTCTCCAAGAGGAGGGACCGAAATCGAAAAGCCGTGACTTCCAACGGTGAGCTGACTTCCAACACCGGATCTCCCAGTGAACCGGCTGATCCTCAGACCAAACCGCGTACAGAACAGTCGCAATCAACGTTGCATCACTTTCTGCTGAAAAAGCCTCAACCGAAGCGGCATTCTTTGGCGACCACTACTCTCCCTACTTCTACCTCCCCTCGTGTTACTTCCTCTGCTTCTTCTACCCCGCGTGCCTTGTCCACGTCGGCTTCTACACCCCGTGTCACTTCTACTCCTGTCAGTACTCGCAAGGATCGTAATCCCAAGAGCGCTGAGACCCCAAACCCCGACGTCGCGAAAACTCCTGCGGAGATCAAGACTGAGTCTGCACCTGTGGAAACTGCTACCAAGCACTCCAGAACGCAGGACAAGAATTCATCCAAACCTCAAACACCTATTGCACCATCTCGCCCGTCTACCCCTCTCGTCTCCACCAGCAGAGCGCGCCGTACGGACCGCAAAGCTGCTGGTACTACCAACCCCAGTCGCTTGAACCCAGCCACCGAACATACCCAATCCACTCCGATCGAACAGATATCAACTCCAACCACATCATCCAACATGGGCAACGCCAAGTCCGTCCCTTCCCGTGCCTCCAAGAAGGGGAGCACTCGACCTCAGCGCAGCAGTCGTCGCTCGCTGATTGAGCCCGAAACTCTTAGCCAAACCCCCAACTATCTGAACAGCAACAGCGCCAAAGCCAGCGACCTCTCCTCGGGCGCAGAGTCGCTCACCCCCGCGCTACCGTTTGGCCGGGAAATCGCGGAGAGCATCGAATCCACCACCCCAGCCTCTGACGACAAGATCCTGCGGGATTTCGGGACTCCGATTCTCGACGAGAACAACACACCCGGCGCGACTCCTTACGGCGATAGCTTCCACTTCGAATATGACACAGACATGTACCGCAACAACTTTGGCCTCGATGGGACCACTGAGACGCCCGGCTCGCCCACAGGAAGCCTGACCACGGCGACGTCAGCTGGCAACCGCATTTCCACTAGACTGCGCAAGCCGACCATCAAGGCCATGGAGTCGATCGAATCCGAGCGGCGGTTTCGCCGGCCTCCGCGTTCGACGTCGGCTCGACCCGATGGTCCCAAGGGTCCCCCGTTGAGATGGGATGCAGTGGCCTTGGGCATTCAGATCTTTGATTTGGCAAATGCGGCTCTTGCCCCTGAATTCGAGCCTGTCGCGGAAGCGGAGAACTGGCTGGCTGAGCTTCGTGGTGAATATGAGGTCAAGCATGCAGAGAAGGAGAAGGTGCGCCTGGAGCGGGAGAGACTGGAGAAGGAAAGGGAGGAAAGGGAAGAGAAAGAGAGGGAGCTGAGAGAGAAGGACGAGAAAGAAACCGCGGAGAAAGAGGCTCAGGAAAAGCCAAATGGTCAGGCGGACGTTGCGGAGAAGGAAATTGATGTGATGGAGAAGGATGTCGATATCATGGAGACGGAAGTGGTGGAGAATGGAGAGAAGAACGAAGCAGAGAAGGCGAGCAGCATGCCGGAAATTGCAGAGAAGGCCAATGCAGAGGAGGCCAATGCAGAGGCCAATATAGAGCCAAATACAGAGCCAGATGCAGAGCCAAATGCAGAGCCAAATGCAGAGCCAAATGCAGAGCCAGATGCAGAGCCAGATGCACAGTCAGCCTCCGAGAAGGAATCTGCGAAGAATGACTCTGCGAAGAAGGACTCTGCAGAGAAAGAGAAAGCTGAGAGCGAAGCCGAGAAAACCAGTTCACCTGCGGAGCAGCTCCCAAAAGTGTCGAGACCACAGAGACCGGTGCGTGCAACACGCAACAAACGGCCTCTCGCCGAGGAGCAACCCTCAAACGAGACAAAGACCAAGGACAAAGCGAAGGCGAGAGGGGCCAGTAAGCCAACCTCCTCGAGGGACAAGTCGAAGGAGTGGACCGACGAAGACGGCTTCACCTACACAGGCCAAGTCAACAAATTCGGCGAGGAACTGGTGTATGTTGGCGGCGAGTACGAATGGTATCGACCCAACAACACTTACGGGGATGATAAGCTGCCGCTGCCTCCTGTTCGCCTCATTTCGCGCGACCAGCTGGAAAAGGACCGTATCTTTGGCTTTCCCCCTCTGATGGGCGAGAGAAACATCCCACGTGCGACGCACATGCCGTTCACCTATGAAAACGTTTATGAGGAACGAGCGAAGATCAAGGCCCGGGACGAGGCACGCAAACGCGGCATTGAAGTGGACCGGTTCATGCCCTCTGCTGCCATTCACGCCCTGATTGCTGAGCATGACAAGACCTCGAGTGACAAGGACAAATCCGGCTCGGGGGTGGAACACAAGGGCCCGGCTCCGCGCAAGCGCCGCCGTGGCGCAGAGCAACCCACCGAGGCCGCACAAGCCGCCAAACGACGTCGCAAGGAGGACACTCCCCCTCACGCGGCAGACCAGCCCAAGACTTTGCGCATTAAATTGACTCTGAAGGGCGCCGCTGCGGCAGCCGCTGCGGCGGGAAACGGCGGCTCTCCAAATGACTCATCGAAGAAGCGCACCCGTTCTGAGATCGAGAGCGCGCCTGAAGCGAACGGTGTTCCAGACAGCAAGACCCCACAGGGCCGGCCTTCGAAGCTTCTCAAACTTTCCGGCCTGCGCCGTGATCCTGTCTCGACTCCATCCAAGTCGACGGCGACTCCAGCCACGCCTGGGGGCGGGAACAAAAACGCCACTGCTACACCTGCGCCTGCACCTGTGCCTACACCTGCCACAGCTCCCGCCCCCCAGGCTTCGACTCCGGTCACCGAAGCCAGTGCCGCAGTCCCAGGAACTACTCCTGGGGGCCGGCCCCGGCGGCGAGCTGCAGCAGCGTTGATGGCGGAATTCCAGACTCATGCCGAGCAGAGGGCGCGTCGCGCCAACGCCCGCAAGAAGGAGCCCACCACCTAGGCGACCGGTCTCTTTCCCTTCCACCTACCGCGTTTCACACACTCAGACCAGTAGCATAAGTCCCTCTTCTGTCTGGTTCGCAGTCATTCCTTCTTTACGACTATCGACTTTTCGCAGTGAGACCAGACAGAAGAGGGGGTGGCGGGTGGAATGGAGGGAACTCCGGCCTCGATTATCCCCCACGTCTCATGCGCTGTTATCCACATAATGCATGCTTTGTGCTGGAGTCAGGTCACTTCCTTATTTTGTGTCTCGACCCTGGGCTGCGAGACGTCAACGACTGTTGAACAGAAAGGTTTTCACTTTAAGAACAGTATCGACAAACAATCCGACCACGACGAATTTAGTACTAGCACGATGAGCGTGAAGACCGAAGGCCCTTGAAGAATGAAACGCAACGGTGGAATATGAAGAACGAGCGAAATCGACCCCTGCTGAGGCGGATGGACTTGTCAGAGGGGGCATGAACACAGAGCGGACTGGGGAAGGAAACAGCATCACCTGGCTCCAAGGTTGTCCCAGCAGACCAATATTCGAGACATGTTACCGGCTGAGCACGACTACTTTGTCCCTTTTATTTCCTTTTTCCTTGCGATAAATCTTGCGAATTAGCTGAGCATAGCGATTGTGTTTCTATCATCATCAACATCGGAGGACGAGGATCATCATGCCATGGAAGGAGATATGGCTTTTGCTGTCGTGTTGGGTTCTGGGAACTCGGGATTCGATCATACCTACAACTATTATCCTCTTTTCTTCCCGCTCTTGCACACTGATGTCTGTACTGGTATTCGGGACGGGTCGCTCGAATACAATGATTGTAAGCTGAGGATTGAAACTGGCTGCATGCTGTGATTTGTTGCACGTTGCATTTCGACCTGCGGATGCTTTTGTGCGTACGTGTGTGCTTGTACAGTACTTTGAGATTGAATTGGGATAGGATTGGGGGCTCACGGTTCATGATGCATCTTGCGATGAGATGGAGAAAGCTGGAAATGAGGACACGGACACCAGCGGAACTGTATTGCACAGGAAATTGACAAGGTGCAAATCCATCGACATCTGAAGATAAGAAGCTGTCGCCAGTGACAGGCGGTTTCAAGAATGCTGCGAAGTGTAGTGTAGAGTGTAGAGTGTAGCGACTAACCCATCACCATCAACCCAGTTGTTTCCTGCAATGCCTGCCTCAGGCCCCAAGGCACCGTCCACTTCCCCAGAAAAAGAATTTCCCTTCCAGCTGGCGACAAGCAACCCTTGGAAACAACATCAAATCACCATCAAGACATCTGACGCTTATTACTGCTCACTGCTCCTGGGACATCCAAACACAAACCCTACCCTATCCAACCAATTTCTCCCATTCATTCATACTATTCATCCTTTCCAGCTCTTCCACAAAATAAGGCAACGACGAGGAAGAAAAAGAGAAAGACAATGCCCCCCTCCACTCCCACCTCCCGCACATCCAAACCACCCACCCCCACCCCTAAGTCTCACGCTCAACCTCCCATTGCCAAACCCACTCCCCAACGCGTCGTCTTCCCCGAAGCTCACCTCCGCCACACGCCTCTCACCTCCCGGACCCCAGGAAGCATTGGCCCGAGAGTAGGCGGAGGCGGAGGCTCCCGCCGCCCTCCGCTCCCCGCGAACGATATCCGGCAGACGAAGGAGTATAAAGCTGCCGCTAGGAAGTGAGTGCCCTCTTCTCCTCCCGCTGCCCTTTGTTTTTTTTTTCTTTTGCTTGAGTTGTCTTGTCTTGACTTGGGTGGAGAGCGCATGCTTGGGGATGGGGTTGTTGTGTTGTGTCCTCCCAGATGAGCATATACTTGCCCCTACTAGCACTATCACTTCCAATACCCATACCCGCCCCTGCACACGGGAGAGAGGGTGGAAGCTACCTTATCATCAACCCAGGGCGAGTATACAGCACCAGGATAGCAGGACACGAGATAACTAATGGACCAAACCCCCCTCCGCCCCGGGGGTGGCGAAAACAGATGGCTCTCGACGATCGTGGCGCTGCCGATTCTGATGTATGCGTCTTATATTCTCTATGAGCGGAGTATGTCACCCTCCCCTCCTTGTTTTGGGGGATGTTCCCGGGAAAGCGGTGTACTGACTCGTCACTGTCTAGCGGTTGGGAATCAGAAGCCGAAGCGGTTGGTTGGAGGGGATGGACAGGGGCAGCAGGGGCAGCAGGGGCAGAGTAGAGGAGGAGGTAGCTGGGGGAATGGGGAGGGGAGGGAGTAGATTCTATGAGGGCGTTGGTCGTGGTGCTACTAATGTGGGTTGTCTGGTCGAGGAGGGGTGCCGGGCACCGGGTGATGGTGTATCTTGGTGACATGTATATTATTACTTGATCAAGGCAAGGATCGAAAGCGTAGAAAATATGTTTCTGGCGCAGTCTTTATGGTTGTTTGACACCGTTGTCAGGCGTAGGCATAGGCATAGCTTAGGACTGATATGCAGTCGGCGAAGGATACATCGGTCACTACACAAATTTCTACTTTGGATTACGATCTAGTAGAGCTGGCTTATTCCAGCTGCAGGTAAAGCCGAGATCTTCGTCTCCGCGGTCTCTCATCCTCCGCATCGTATTCTTCGGGTTCAAGACGAGGACGGCTTACCCTCCGCGGTCTCTCATCCGCCGCATCGTATGGCTCGTCTTCGCCTTCAGGCATCGATAGCTCGGGCGCGGTCCATTGGATCTCCCCATCATGGATGTTGCAGACATCGAGGATCAGGCCTCCGACCTCGGGAATGTCGTCGATGAGCCCGATGAATGCAAAGATCCTATTCGGGGCCCCCCCTTCGGCAACGTTGACGTTCAGCGTCGCCGCATGGTGCTCCCGCAGAATGCGGGCTCCTCGCCAACGACGACGCTGGGGTTGTTGCAGCGGACGCATGGGAAAGATCACCGGGTTTTCATCGGTCCTCTGGGTGTAGATGGGCTCCACATCCGGGTGCAAGACCCCGCTGTCCCGCTCGAGCGGGGCGACCGTTGTCCGCGGCGCCGCCATGCGCGCTTGATACTCCGCGTCAGCTTCCTCGGGAGTCCGCAGGAGGACATCCTCGCACGTGTGCAGGACCGAGTCGTGGTCACAGACGCGGTAGGGGTCCACGGGGGGCCCAGTAACGAACACGGCCCGCGACAGGAAGGCGCCCTGGAACCACGCCTCGATTATCAGGTCCGCGGTCTCGCGCGCGACTCTGCCCAGATAGAACTCCGGCGCCGCCGCGCTGACGCCCGGCATGACCTGCCATTTGATCTGCCAGGTCTCGTACAGCCAGTGGTTGAACTCGGTGGGATGGCTGCCGGCCCAGAGGGCGGCATTCAGGGCCACCGCGTAGCGGAACTCAGGGTTGGGTGCCTGGTCGTACCAGCGAGAGTTGACGGGCGTCGAGAACGTGAGCGGGCGCTGATAGGGGACGATGCGCCGCGGGAGCTCGACGAGCCTTCGCATCAGGTGCCGACTACGGGACTCGAAAATCGCCCCGTCCACCAGGACAAAGCCCGCCACGCGGTAGGTGGGGTCGCTGATCCAGACGTTCCATTTGCGCACGAAGTCGGCCTCGCTGGTCACGCAGACCAGTCGCGCCCAGCTGGCCAGCCGGGCGAGCACGGTTGGGTATTGCTGGACAAAACTATACCCGCCAGGGCAGATCAGGAAGAGCAACCGCCTCGCGGGGCTCTGCTCGGCGTTTAGTCCGTGACGGAGTGGTTGTTCCATCTTGGGGTCAATTGACGTTGACAAAGTAGGTTGGTCGAGTGGATGAGGTCCCGTGTTATGAGGTTGACAAACACTCAATTTGGGGCCATACGGCCGACATATTTATAGACTCCAGCACGAGAAATGCTCTTTCGCTGCGACGAGAGACGCATCAAATCTCCGAGTTCCCTTTGTGTCGAGGTTGAGGATTGCCGACGACGAATATTGTTCGGATTGAACACATCTTTGTTATCAATCTTGAACTTGGATTCCGTCAATTATGTCCTAGAAGCGGTGGGGGTTTTCAATATACTAAATTCCTTTCAAGGGTTGAAATATGGCCAATGTCAGGTATCTCGTCAATGATACAAGAGATAAAGAATGAAAGAAAAGCTCCGGTAGCAAGTTGTGGACAAGATGTCCACAATGATGCACCGTCTACCTTCCTAACGAGGAAAGCAAGATGACAATAAACGAAATGGAACTTACCGGACAAGCCCATGGGTTTTTGTTCACTCAGAATGTTGCCGAACCTCTTATCCCTGAAAATTTTAACACGTATGGCTAATGCTGTACTAGCTAAGTTGTATGAAAAAAAGTAAATCGATTTGCTCACAGAGCCCAGGTAGTCGGCATTGCTACCAGTTATAAGTGGTTTAGAGATAGCCAAAAAAAATGTATCAACATCAAACGAAACAATGATCCCAGTTCCCGCCAGATCTAGCAAAGCTCAATCCTCGCACAAAGTCATCCCGCTTGCATCGGCCTAGCTTATCAACCGCGCAGCCGTGCAGCGGAACCACGCGATCGTTTACTAGCACCCGCACAAGAGGCTCCGGCTGTGCTTTACACTGCATCATCTCAACGTAGGCTCGCGCACCGAATGGAACGGTCCACGCCGCCGAGAACCCATCGGTCTCTTTCATCGACTCCACCTTCGTCTTGGACAACGGTTTGGTGCCGTTGTACAAGCCCAAGGCGAAGAAGATAGGGATCATCCCGTTGTCGTGTGTGAAGTCCGCATAGAGAGTATAGTTCAAGGGGAATGTGGCCGGGCTCGAGTCCAGAGTGCGATTGGTACTTGTCTCGTCATGGACCGGGGTATGTGTCAGACGAGCAATCAACTCATTGGTGAAGCCAACCCCTCGACTAGGACCAAGAGGATTTCCAGCACCGTACCCGTAGTACTTCTCCAAGGAACGCAGGTAGTTGTATTGCTCCCATTCCGTATGACTGAATAGGTCACAGAACGGAGAGAGCTGAGTCTCCGGCTCGGACTGTGCGATAGTATCGAAGGAGCACATGTCCATGAGATAGACGACCTCTTTGGCCGTGAGGTTCGCTCCGGGAATGTTCTTCTCCAGCCGCTTCAAGATGGGCGGCGTGAGGAGGGCAGTAAAGTTGGCTACAACATCATCCCCCAGTTCGCTGTTCTCGAAGACCGTGCAGGTGCTGGGATCCAGCGAGTTATTAGCGTTGGTGCTTTCGGAGATCACCACATTGACCAAGGGAGCAAGTTGACCGGGAAGGGCCAAGGTGTCATTGAGCTTCGTGTCCTGGAAACCTTGGATGAATTTCTGGCCAGATTCGATCACCCGGCTTGACCCGGATGCGCGAACGAAAGGAGTGCCGTCCTTTGCCAGAGACTCGTAACGCTGGTAGAACTTGATTCCCGAGTCGACCATCTGCTGCATCCCGAAGGAAGTCAAATCGTCCGACCCCAAGGTGTAGTTGTAGGTCTCCAGGAAGGCATAATCCCCCTTGTAAGAGGTCGCACCGGCCTGAATCTTTGCGATCACTTTGGCATATTTTGCGGACTTGGATGCAGTGGGGTACCGTGCACCGTGGCGGGAGATCGCTTGTGCGAAAGTGACGTGGCAGCCCTCAGGGATAGCCGGAGAGACGGACTCCTCCTCAACCGAGAAGTAAGGGGAGTACTGGCCCCAGAGATGCGAAATCTCGGAGAAGCAATTATAGCCCTCATTGACACTGTCGCAGGTCGAGGAGCTCTGCTTGGGGGATCTAACCACCGGACCGGCGGATGCTCTACCAAGGTTGGAGGAGGCGGTAAGCAACATGTATAGGAATGGGGAGAGTCAGGTTCTACATACCCAGAGAGGAGGTAGAGCGAGAGCAGAATGGTAAAGAAGCCCATTATAACCGCAATCGCAATTTTTCTGTTCGCAAGAAACAACAATTGACGAGGTCTTCCCCCAGCGAGCTGGGATGGTTCATATAGTCCCTTCATTATTGTGGCCGGAGAGCACCCATGGCTCTAAATGTGCGTTACCGGTCGGGAGCTAGAAAGCTAGCACGCGACTCTGGTAGCCCACGTGCGAGAATAGAATTGATCTTGAGGAGTGCTTAAACTGCTAAGTGGGTATAGGAGTAGTAGAAACGGGATGTGGTTCGGAGCACAGTAACAGAGTCCTTGTAACAGCAGTAGAAGTAGTAAGTAGTACCGGAGAGAGACGGGACCCAGGCTGAATTGGACCATGGCTGTGGAGTATCGCATCTGGGGGCAGACCACGTGGGGGATTTCCCTTCTTCTGGTTGGGTAGTAGATATGGGTAGATATGACTGGTTAGAGCTGCCTGAGGACCTCCCGAGTCGTATCTCATCACTGCCGGAATCCTCAGGTGTCGACCAACTGCCACCGGGAACGCTACAGAGGCACAGTACATACAATAATACTCATACTGAATCTACGAGATTAACCCCGATAGCCTTTGTCTGACCATCTGCAGCTCTCATCAGTCGGTTCCATGCAAGTACGCTTTAGCGGTACGACGTTCCCACCCCCAGTCCATTGTTAAAATAGACCGTCGTGTGATGAAGGTAAAGGTAGTGAGGATCTCTATATGATTCTTGCTTGAATGACTCAAAGCTCATACTAACACTGTCTCTAGAAGTGTGAGGGCTGGCAGAGTCTGAGGTGCCACAGCATCACATCAGGCGGTCGGCCAGCGATATAGTGTTACATACATATGCAATCCCAGCACAACCTACCAAGTCTTAGTAGTCCTCCCACGTGCAAGACGAAAGCAACCAACAAAGAAAAGGAAAATCCCAGGAATGTTGCAAAGGAAAGAAATTTTAGACATCCATCCCGATCTCAAGTCGCATCCAGTACAAATTCAACAGTACACAAGAAAGGTTGAGGAGAAAAACAAATTGCCGCCTTTTCCATTGCTATCATCAAAAATTCTAAGCCTTCCAGCATGTAAGCCATGTAAATATCTCTTTTTTGCACACTTTTCCCCGTCAAGAAGAAAAGAATGTTACGTCAAAAAATGAATCCTCCAACTTCTAAAAAAGAACTTGTGAGGATTCCAGAATCTTATACAAGAAAATGTAGGCAGAAACACATAAGAAAGTGATTCACCTAACAGAAGCGAACGACCTCGGGGAAACTGCCCAAGATATAGTATTGCATGAGGGACTGAGGGCATGCGGTTGATGTCTCTGTGTCACCTCTCGCAGCCCACAATAGGAGCATTACGAACCCCGTGTCCATGCCCCAGAAACGTGTGCTAATTCCCTAGGGGGTCTCTCAACAGGTACGATGCCCCGCTCTGCGTGCATCGTGCCGTAAGAGGCTGAAGAGGTAGGCCATGTGACAGGTGGCCGTGCCGTCGACAAGGGCATCATCTTCGAATCGGCCATCGAAGTCCTGCTTGCTGCGGACCCACGTGCGGATTCCAGGCTTTCGCGAGTTGCCTCGGGTCCGTGCCAAGCTGCCTTTCGATCTTGATCAGGGGCTGTTAGAAAAGACGTGCGGAACGCATGCGGGGATGTTGGCCTCGTAGGCATCTGCCCTGCAGGTACCAGGCGAGTATAGTGGTCACGGAAGAAGTCTCGCTCGGAGCGGTAGAAGTCGCGCTCCTGAGTCAATGCCCGAATCTCTTGTGTTTGTCTCTGCAGAGCCTCGGCTTGCTTCCTTATCTCGTCCTGCTGCGCAGTGATCTTCTGTTCCATTTGCATTTCGTTCCTCTTGCGGTTGCGGAATCTTCTTGAGGCGTCACTGTTAGCCTTCCGCTTCTCCGCCTGCTGCGACGAGCCGGATTTCGTATCGACGAAACACGGAATCATGCCAGGGGGTGGTGGCTCAGCCGACTCGTCCCCAGGCCGCGGTACTGCCATGGCAGGAGGTAGCCGGCTCGCCGCATCTCCTGTCGTATATGAAGTATTTCCGAACGAAGGTGTGTGATGTGGCATGGGAGCCACTGCTATTGCCGGAGACGATCGACCAAATTGACTGTAAGTCGATACCGGCGTTGTTGGACTGGTTTCCTGAGAACTCGGATGAGGGGTGTGGCTGCCACTCACTTGGCGGCTATGGAAAGTTGGAGTTGATTGCACCGAGACTCGGGTCAGGATTGGGGCTGACCCCGGGTGAGAGGAGGTCGATACGGGGTGCCCTGGAACAGAGTCGATATAATGGGGCGAGCTGGGACCTCTGGAGTACGAGCTCAGGTGTGATGTTTGAGAGAGTGGAGACTGGGCCGGTCCAGCCTTCAAGCTCAAGCTACCCCCGAGAGGAGGGAATCGAGCTGATGGCGATGCAGGGGCTATAATCGGATGGTTTCTGACCCCGGGAGAGGAGGAAAGTCGCTTAGCTGGGTGGAGTGTAGGCGAGGGAAGATGCATCGTCGGCGAGGAGGGGTGTCGAGTGTGTGAAGATAATGCTGCAGTCGACTGTCCTTCCCCATGACTTTCCCAGCCGTTTTCTGGTTTGATGCTCGGCACCTTGGAGGGAGGATTAAGAATTGATTCCACGCCAATGGGACGAGACTGCCCAGTCGAATTCAATGCATACCCCAACGGGTCAGATGATTGCCAGGAGAAAGGTCGCGAACGAACATGATCTGAGCTATCCGAGTCATCGTCCAGGCGAGGTCTTTTCCGTTCGAGCGAACCGCGACTCTCGGACGAACGAGTATCGCCTATGGAGGGAGCAGAAACAGGGGGCGACATGTGCTCCAAATCTCTCAGTACCGATTGTTGAGATGATCCTGGGCATGGCGGGGCTCCTCCTCTCTCCAGGTGAGCTGGAGATTGACGAAGAGGAGCCTGAGAGAAGGAGCCGGTTGGTTGGGCGAGAGGAAAACCAGGCAGCGAATGATATTGGGACGAAGAATGCACCGGACTGGAGTATGGAAGATTGGCCAACACACTGAGTCCTAGGGTAGCCACGGTGACGGAAAGGCTGATTAGGAGCCCAAAAGAAGACGAGAAAAAGGAGGGAAGTATAGGCTGGGCTTGGGTGGTTGAGAAAGGAACACGGGCAGCGGATGCCGTGCGCAATGGAGAATCCTTATACACCCAATCCTTTCGGTTCTGGCTTGTATCCCGTGAGAATGAATTGACCGCGTCAATCAACACTACAGTATATTCTGTGCCCAGCAAGATTTACCCGATTGCCGCCGGATATCGTTGAAATCACCAATGTCCAATGTATGATGTGAGAGAACAAGAAAATCAAGTCAATTGAGAATCGATACCCAGTATCTGTATAGTGGAGCCGAGTTATCAGAGTCAAGGCACGCTTGATAGAAGAGGCAGTGAAAGAAGACAAGTTCGGTGAGTTAGACAACGTCTCGATCAGTGAGGAAAGAAGGAAGTAGAAAGTAAGTTCAAATCACAAGGGGAACGCAAATGATTATGGTAGTGTTGAAGGCGGAGGAGGAGGCGATTAGGATGGTAGTAGTAGGTTGGTAGGCAGGTAAGTGGGTTAGGTATGGTACTAATCCTAAATATTTTTTTTCTCTTATGGGATTGATTTTATTTTATCTGATTATTGCTAACGGAACGGATCTGCTTCCCAGCACAAGCATAAGTGAGCTGTTGACAGCAGAGAAAGAAGTACAATCTTTTCGGCGGTGTGAAACGGAAGGCGATGTTTGGTAGTGAATAATAAATGGGGAATCAAAATAAGAACAGCAGCAGCAGCAAGCGGGTGTGGGACCCATGGATTTTAGTTAGTTTAATTAGTTTAAGAGAAAAAAAGAGGGAACCCAGAGGCATGGGTTGGGGAATGGGGAGGGGGGCGAGGATCTTGGGTCGACGATGAACAACAAGTATGTAAGACACTTTGCGTTAGACCAAAGATTATTTTAATCAAGAAAAGAAAAGAAAATGAAAATAGAAATTCAATCATCAATTAATTTAAATAGAAAAAGAAAAGACGGAAAACAAAAGAAAAGAGATCATGGCATCACACAAAGAGTGACGCACAGGCAGCTCACGCAGCTGGTAAGGGGGGAGAGAGAGAGAGGTGGATTTTCCATGACTGCAAGCCTAACTTGGTCGGTCTGTCCCTACTAACTACTGCTTAGCGACATACATGCATGAATACATCCATCCATCCATCCATACATACATACATACATACATACATACATACATACATACATACATACTGTACAGGCATACATACATACACCGTACATACAGCCTACATACAGCCTACATACAGCCTACATACAGCACCTTTATATTTTTAATCTTTCTTCCTCTTTTTACTAAATCCTGTTCGGACTCAGGACTCAGGAGCCATGCATCTGAATATACGTGGATCTTGATTATCCACCCGACTAGCTCTACCTCAATCTTGGGTAAATTAGACTACAGTAACTTACTTCCTTGAGAGTTCTAAAGTCCCACGCCCAATTGATGATCCATAAAAACAACTTACGGTGGAGACCACGACACACAGGTACATGCTCATACATATACAGAGTACGGAGTACAATCAACTCAGACAGTCAGACGTATTGTACATGCATGCATGCATAGATACCTGTCTGGGACTTTTGTCTAGTCCGGGTGCAGTTCCAACGATCTAGTCTTCATCCGTCAAAAGTACTTGCTTGGTACCAAAGAGGGAGGAGAAGGAGGAGAGCGCCATCGTGATGGGTCTCGGGGAAGACGGAAACCCTCCCTCGAAACTACTTAAGCGGTAAAAGCTGTTCCAAATTCGGAGGTAAGTATTGATTGTCAGGTGGGAAACTTGAAATCAGAGAGACCATGAAGACAAAAAATTGTAAAAAAAGAAAAATATTCAGAAATAAAAAAAGGGTCTATCCAGGCTCCGAAGAGAACAGCATTACCTGGAGCTTCCAGGTTTGAACAAGGCCCCGGGCCTACTCTATCAGTACACTCACTAGGTATAGTGTACCTATGCTATAAGTTACCAGTTAACTCAGGTTATCTAGAAGTTACCTAGAAGGATATGTCAGTCGACCTATCATTTATCTGGCCATGACAGTATCACCTTTCCTGCTAGGTGATTCATTTCCTCATCACACAAGCTATGTTGATTCATCCGGTTAACTTTGGGGCGTATACTTAGGGGGCTCGGGATTTGTAGAGTATTTCTTTCAGGATCCCTCAGCCTCTATTAAGTCCTGTCCGTCTTGAGAAACGAATCACCCTTACCAACTCCATCGTTCACTAGTGAGATCACTAGAGGCGGCTAACCATGGGATTGGGGATTGGGGACATGCAGGTGAACCGGAAGCTTTTAGTATGGGCGCCGTCAATTTGGGTCGGTGGAGGTCCCCGAGAGGTCGTGCTTCCCCTAGACTAGCTCAGCAGCAGCTTGAGGGGGGAACTTGCAAGATACCCGCTCGCTCAAGCCGTCGGTCGGGGTGGAAAGAAGTACAGGGCAGGTACCGACCGAGCGTGTGGGATCGAGGGTAGCAATCAAGCGGTAAGTAATGTATGTCAGTACGGAGTACTACACTGTAATATATATCCATCCGTATGACCATTTCACATACTGCATGCAGCCTGTATTATAGCGGTAATCCAAAACATCTGCCGGTTGCCACTTACCGCCTGGGGGAGCACTGAGAGGAGAAGGTCGACCCATTGGCAATCAACTACAGAATGGCCCTCGGAAGGATTCTGTCTCTTTGACATCCTGCCTGCCTCACGACGACCTCTGGACTTGTTTGTTGGTGTGCGAATCGAATCAGTTGCGATGATGGCATCTGGCCTGGCCCCCGCTGAGTTTGCCGATGTCAATTGTCTCGTTCACCCCCAGCATTTTGGCCTCGATTGGTAACTAATTCTAATGAGGTAACCGTACAAGCATGCCCAGTGGCTCTAATAGATTCATTGAGGGAAAACGACACAGATCACCAGATGAAGCGAGGTTGGCCATGTCAAAGCGATGAAGACAGAGTGTACTGCCGGACCGTACAGGCTGCTGCACTAGAAAGAAGTTGGTATAGATATAAACAGACACCCGGTACATAGGCCTATAGTACAGAGGTAGCCTTTTGCGCTTTCCTTCTGGGGCCCGAAGCACTCGGTTGATATCCACGACTACTAGTACCGACTGAATGGCCAAGTTAGATTTATTATTGATTGAATGACCGTACCACAATGACCAGCAACCGTGGATAAATGGGACATTAATCCCCCAGCATTCATCCATGTCTATCTATCTCCTGAGTGAGGTAAGCTGTCTATCTATCTATCTACCTCAAACATGACGGAGTAGGAAAAGACCATCTGCTCCATCCTGCCAAAGAAAGCCAAAAAAAGCCCGTCGTCTAGTTCGCAGCGGCAAATGGGGCGGACGAGCAGACTTTCTTCCATTCAAATGGCAGATTTGTCCCGAATCACGATGTTTTGCATGCATGCGGGAAGATAACATACTTTCCAAAGTTCAAGTTTCAAATCACCTTTCAATCCTTCTTTCTGGGCAGCCGGGTCTAACCCCCGACCCCCCCCCCTCTCTCAGTCCCCAATCAGTTCCCCTAATATTTGCCTTCCCCTCATCTCTTTCCGCCAGTGCGGATGTCAGCCGGAGAAGGGTCAGTTAGTACCAGACTACCAGTACTCAATAGCTCAAACTAATAAAAATAAATAAATATGGAAGGACTCCATAAACTGTGGATAGTCACCAGAACTCCGATGTCATCTGCTGATCCCCGTTGTTCACCCGGCCAGCTGTCTTGAGTTAAACTCGCGGACCGCATCCTTTGCCAGCCGTGTGACTGGAATGGGAGTAACGAGTAGTTAACCACGATCAAGGTACCTTATGGATGGCTCAGCTTTGGCTAACACCAAACACGAGTCGATTGGGCTGAGCCCGATACTAGGATTGGGATTGGTCAGGAACCTGGAATGGGAAAGTATCGTCCGTTAAGTTAGTTTGGTTGATTGCACGCAGGCAGCAGAGCAGACAGGTCATCAAGCCTCACGGATCATCCCTCTGGGGTCGACTTCTGAGTGGTCCACGCAGGGGACTGTTGTTGTATTCCTTCCGGCACCGCTGCTGCTCAATTCCTCTGATACTTACACGGGAGACAGGAGTACGTCTGTGAAATCGGGCCAAAGCGAAGAGGAGACGGCCAGGAGAGTGTTTCAGCTACGTCATTGGGCATCAATCACAGATCATAAAGCTTCTCGAGATCGCAAGGCAATGCTGCCCTTGATTCCTCCATCTACTCTATGAGAAAGAGATAAGGTATACCCCCGACTGTGATCCAACCAATTTGCTTCGTGGTCCGGGAAGTTATAATTCCACGATGCTATTGTACTTACTGCGTATATCATCTTACGCTGACCCGGGGGACGATCCCCAAGCTACGGATGTCAATCGTTTCAACACAGCCCACTGCGGGTCGCATCGAGCGAACTAGATACGTCGAGTGTGGTTGCTAAGCTCTTGATAATATTGGACGGCCAACAGCCCGGTCAGCCATCTGCAAACGGGATCTCTCACAGGTGCACCTGCCGCCTGGGCTTAGGCATTCAATACAGATTGCATCAAGACGGATCAACTACGGCACTTCCGACAGACAGTAGGCAGCAATGCATTATGTACACTGTGTGTAATGTCCGGATATTGTTTGAAAGGAGACACCAGCAACGAGAAAGAGAGCTCTAGATCTGTCAACCGTATGTCGGCAAGGATCGGTGAGCTGCTTCTGCAGAATAAAGCAGCAAATTACTTGCAGAAAGCCCGAGGTGTTCCGCGGGGACCTGACTGGCTAGAACCCCGTCAGAGAATAGGAACTGTCGATCAATCAGGTTGTCTGTCCACTTGCTTCCTTTTTGTCAGAAAAAGGAAAAACAAATATCGGATTTCTTGTGCGACTCTACTGGTTCATCAAATGGGTGCCGTCGCATAGTCGGCGTGTCGAGCATGTAGAAGCCAACGAAGGACCGGACAGAGACGCTATCAGCTATCGTTCCGGGCGCATTTTCAAGATTTTATCACTCATGCCTTCTGTGAGACGACATCAGACAACTGTGAATGCACAAGGTTTTTCATATAGAACAGAGTGGAACCTCGTGGCTCATCTGACTTTGCTCATTTATTTCCTGGCTCTTTTGGTCTGATGACGAAGACCAAGGAAGAACGAGGTCTGTTCCTTCCTTCTGGAAGCACCAGACCAGTTAACTAGTGGTCGTAAAGGGGTTGACTAGTAGTACCGGGATCACCGTGGACCAGCAAGCTACCCTAGGTTTTGGGTCCGGTCCGGCGCCATGGGAGGTCGTTGAGGTTCAGCCAGCCTCCAAGGTTGAGCCTTGATCTTTCACCTCCAGGCTCCCGGATCCCGAACTCCAGAAACTCACAAGCGCTTGATTGACTAAATGGAAGGTGTGTGGTGGTAAACTACCTACTGTACGCACCTCGTCATTCGCAAGCACCTGTAGGCGGGAAGTGGAGACCAGATATTCCGGACTGAGTGCGATTCATCCGTTTGCTTCATGTCGACGCTGCTGGCACCGGATACCTTCTCCGATTCCTCGTCCTTTTGTCGCCTGCAAGCTCGCTTGGTGTGGAAGCCAGTCTGATTGATGCATTTGTGTTTCCTGGATGCTTCCCGCCAGTTTTCTGAGCACTCTTGAACACTGCTGAGCACACTCGTGGAGTGGGCCGTCAGATCGGAGAACGTGTGCCACGAGAAACATGGCGGACAGGTAGGTAATTACTTAGTCTAGTGACTCTAGTCCGTAGTCTAGTCCATGCAGATGGGATCACTTGGCGGGATTGGAAAAGGGAGTGTGGAGCCCGATCGGAACGGGCTGTGAAGTGGCCCAGAAATATGAAGAGACGGTGAGAAAAACCCTCTGGAGTGATAGGAAACAGCGAACAGACAAACAAACAAACATGAACCGAGGGGTTTAATGTATTACTGGCTCTCTCAGGATCCGGAGTTGAATGTCCGCAACTCAGCAGCAATTTTTCTAATGCAGAGCATAGTTCATTTCAGATAAAATTTCAGTTGTCAATGGCTTTGTTTGGAGCATGTTTACTTTTTTCTTTGTCTCCCTTTCGATTCTTTCTTTCTCCCATTCGCGTGCGTGTTGGGGCTGCCGTTCCCCGCTAATACCGCTTGACTTATCACTTGAGAAGGATCGAGAAAACCATCGGACCAGCAGTGCCCACAAGCCATGGCAGGAAAAGTCCATCGCATTTTCCATTTCCTATCTTGGCTGTGGTCCGCCGCTAAGTGAGACTAGATGAAGAATCCCGGTGGAATGGCATTAGCTTACGGAGTCTGAGTAGTTTGACGACTACTGAAGCCTGGATGGACGTACGTCCCTACGGAGTCTTGCATCGCAGGTCTCCACTTTATTTGTGCATGGTCTGTTAGTGCACATCGAACTCGGGCCCTGCAGCTGTGAAAATTACGAGTATCCATTTTGGCCGGGTGCGTACCCTTCCTTTCTCTCTCCGAGGAGCTCTTGAAGGCGTGCTGAATGTACAGCCTGGAGCATATTGTAGGTTAGCATGTGGATGTATACACAGTCGGGGTACAGTCATTTCGCTGGATCATGTCATACCAACAGGCAAACCCCGCGAGATCCACAAGCTCAACACAACTTCGAACATACTCCGGAGTAGCGGCCTCTAACTGCAGCCGCGGAAGGTTGTGAGAAGCAACTCAACTCATCTTAGCTTTTGTCGTCCCCGGTTCTCTCGATGCGCTATCATCCATCCCGCTGCTGCGATGGCTCGCAGTAGTGGAATTCACTTATGCTTGCAGGTCGTGCTGACCCGGTCGAGGAAAATAGCTAATTATGCTCGATAATTGACAATGGGATTCTTGAACCCGTCTTTAGGAAAAAAAAGGGCTAGCCCCGTCTAGATCCCAAGGTGGCACTGCCGTAGCGTGCATTTTCTGTGCTGCACATGCATGCAATAACATTCACACCACCTGTTGGCTTCCTTCCGCTCGATGCTCAGGGCTCCCGATTAACTTTGGGAGCTGGGGAGAAGGGGAGTTCGGGGAACTGGGAATCGCTTCCAATTCGGAGAGGAGATCAGAATCACGCATAGATGATTGTCCCTCTAGTTCACCGTAATTGCTGGGTGTGGTTCCCACTCCGGGGGCTGCACGCTTCGATCCGGTGTTGTCGGCGACCTCTATTTAGGAATTCGCATTGACCGCGATGTCTGCGTATACCTGCATACTACTAGCTACATCTGGAGAAACAAGCACAGTAATTGGGCCCGTCTTTCTTGTGTATCTGCCAGGTGCTTCCGCTGGCCTGTCTTATTGATTTTTAATCACGGGCGGGATCGATCCGGACAGTCTAGATTTACAATGTACTGTACTGTACTTATCACCAGAGGGCTCATATCTTGTTTCCAAGAGTCGACAGTTGTGACTTCTTGAATCCGTTCATTGGTTTGGAACGACGCATGTATGATACCAGGCCATGCACTCATTTGTACTCTGTATTCTACATAAGACTATTTAATCTGAATGTGCTGAGGCGTGGATTATGACAGTCTAAAGGCGCATGAGAATTCAAACTGTTGGAAAGCAGAAGGACCTGCAGTACCTGAAAAGGAAGTCGCGGTGGCCGTCGAACTCGGTAGTGTTAGACATCAATCCCTTCTACACACTCTACTATGCCCTGCTAGAAATACTCATGGATTGACTGACCTCACTTACTGACTGACCGAGTGGGTCTGCCGACTTCCTTCCACTCTTTCTTTCTTTTTCTCTTCTTCTTCTTCATCTGCCCCACCCCTTGCATTTATTCCCCCGCATGGAGACGACAACAACAACAATAATCAAACAGCATTATCCCCTATCTCCGTGCCTTTGATTGGAGAGGTGTAGATGCACTCTGCACAAGTCCTTTCCCGTTCTATTTCTGGACCTCGGATGCATTAAACTGACATATTCTGATCAGACTGTGTGTCTCACAGAGTTCGTTCTTCCCATCGCAGCTGGACGCCAATTCCCGTCCTCCGTCCGAGTCGAGTAGGCTTCCTTGGTGACTGCCTGATTGAACGCTTCGAACCAGGACAATCCTTATGTGCCTTCCATACTTGCTCTGCTACACAATGTCGCTCTTCATATGCGGGTCCTATAAACAAGTTCGCGTCTCCATTGTGGCCCCTTCAAAGGGCGCTTGGTCTAAAAGCCTACACACAGAGCAGCTCCCGGTCAAAGTATACTTCTTTCTACAACTCTCTGAATGCTAGGTTATCACCATGAGATCAGTCCTGAAAGCGGAACTGGTTCTTAGCCTTTCCTCTAACACCGACATCCACGCGATAAAGCCGTCCCCCATACCGGATAGAGTTGGGAAGCTGCTCATCGTTCACATCGTCCTTGGCAGTTGTGATAAAGAGCTCGGTCCCGACAAATGTTGGACAAGTAATGTTTCGTGTAGGCAGGATCACTTCGCCGATCACTTTTCCCTCTGGCGAGATGCGTATGATCTTCCCGCCGCCATATATGGCACTCCAGAGGCAGCCTTCCTCATCGATGGCAAATCCATCGGGCTCCTTGGGCTCCCCAATATCAAAGTGAACCCTGCGGTTGCTGATTGCTCCGGTCTTCGCATCGAAGTCGAAGGCAAAAATCTTACCAGTAGGGGAGTCGGTCAGGTACATGGTGTCATCCGCAGGGTTCCAACCAATCCCATTGGGGATCGTCAGCTGTTCAACCATCCGATGGAGTTTCAAGTCGGGATCTAGCCGGAACAGGACCCCTTCGTTGGTAGGCTTCTGGATCTTGGGGTCATTCATAGCCCCGGCCCAGAATCGCCCGTGGCTGTCGACTGCTCCGTCGTTGAAACGCATCCTGTTTTGATGGCGTTGTCGATGAGTCAGATTCACGCCTTCGAGTTGTGCAGATCCCGACTTCTGACACCTACCTGTGGTCCCTGTCTGGGTCGTCCCATGCTCTGCGGATATACGACAGCTCGCCGGTGTCGCGATTGATCAGGGCGAATCCATGTTTGGCGGCCGCGACGATCTGGTCCTTGTGGGAATCTCCGGCATTGGCGATGTTGGCAGTCACCCTGCAGTCCCGACCCGCGGGTTAGCCTCGAAGCTGTGCTGGGAGTAGACACCCTGTAAGGAAGGCTATCGGACAGGCGACGCACCCAATGGAAGCAGACGTGTCCAAAATCCGCAGCGAGTCTGGCCCTTCGGCAAGGTTTAAAGCGTATAATTTCTGTTCCCAGATGTCGACAAAGCGAAACTCATTCCTGGTCTCATCATGGAACGGACCCTCCAATAAAGTGCCTGCTATGTCGACGTACGGCTGGATCAAGAAAGAAGAGTAAGAATCATGCTGTTATGCTCAAACCCCACATGGGCCATGTTCATTCGCCCGGAAAAGGTCCAGTTCTAAATCCGCGTACCTCGGAGACCGTCCATCTCTGGAAGGCTGACATTCTGAATGGTCGACCAACAAGGATTCTGAAGTTTTGGACAATTCAGTTTCGGGAGCACCCGTGGTCTGAGCTGTATCGGAAAGTTATGGCCGGCTTCGGATATATGTGCGACAGTTATTGTCAATGGAGAACAACATGTGTTGGGAGCGCACTGAGGGGAAGATAGGGAAGGTCGACTTGAGTGTGACGGCTGATCAGTTGGTGCGTGGCACACGGTTGCCAAGACAAACCCCACACGAACCTCATTGAAAACGCGATTATTTTGCTGTCCCGCTCCTTCGCCAGCAGCAGCAGCAGCTCCTCATGGTCAGTGGGTCGAGCTGGGTCAGCCATCCCTGTTTCGACTTAGGGTCCTAAGGCCAGAGGGCGAGGGGGGAGGGGAGTGGATAACTGCCCATCGGGCCACCACTTCCGTGCCAAAGCAGTCGTCGACGGTCGAACACACCGATTGCTAGCACTAAATAACACACACTAACTGGATGGCATCTATCGACTCCGACTCGAATTGATCTAGAGTCTGGGCCCGGGAATTTCTCCAGTTTTGCTGCAGAAGTTGCTGCGTGTCGTGCCAATTATTAGCGTCTACTTCTAGGAATCCAGAAATATGTCCGCGTCCATGGCCTCTAACGGTCCAGAAAAGGAACATGATGCATACATGCGCCCCTTCGTCTATTGAGCGATTCGAGCCCTCAGGTTTCCGGAGTGGGTATATTATTTATTGGATATTCACCACCAAGCATGTCCCCACCCATTGGAGCTATCACCTGTCAAGTGAGTTATCAGCTACCTTACCTACGGTATTTACGGTACCTTTAGACGCTAAATTACAGGCAGCCCTGTCACAACCAAACGTGGTCACTGAGAATGGTTTTATGTGCCGAGAAAAAGCAATTCTCAGGGAAGGTCAAGATTTGGAATTGAATGAGAGGGACTAACTCCCCAGCTATCTCTGAAGCACGAAGGAAAAGTACATTATGTACTCACCAACAAGACCGTTTGATTCTGAGCAGGCAGCGAATGTCACACCATGTTACCGGCCCAGACCCAGTTGTGCGCAGTGACAGGATGCGGGCAGACTTCCCGTGTTCCGCCTCAATTTGTCCCAAACAAGGCTCCTGGTGGAGTCTATCTTGGACGGGCCGATAACTGCGGACAAATAGGAAATCACCCGGCTGCTTTCCCTTGGGGCTTGTGCTATGCGGCAGCTTGCTCCCAGCGCTTGAAGCAGTCTGCGTGACAGCAAGCAAGGCGAGTCCCCTCAATGCCTCGAAAGTGTTCCATGGACGCAGACACGGCATATCCGCCCGCCCCAGGGTCCCAAACCTCGGGACTTTGAAGGGAAATGTTTACCAGTTTACCTACAATTCAGAGGACGAGGCCCACCTAGTGTACCTTCGAGCCTACAGCCGTGACCGCGACCGATTACGAGTGGTTTTCTTGCATTGGTCCCCGATTTGTGGCCTGCGTCTGGGGTCCGTGTCATGGCCGGTCCATGGAATGTGGGCAGAGCTCCAGGCCAGTCCCGCCATGTGTCTGACGGCGAAAGGCGGATCGCCCCAGATAGGCAAGGTGAGAGATATAGTGGAATGGTTGAGCAGCTGTTGAGCGCCTGAAATGCTTCCACAAAGTTCCTCGGTCCTTCGGGGAGGGAGGCCGCGCTAAGCCAGATGATGGACCACCTGCTGGGTTTCTGTTCATCTAGTCTAATCGCCCTGGTTGGTGAATCACAGCCCCGTCACTCAGCCATGTCCAGCTGGTTTAGCAGTGGTGCCGTGATCGGGTTCCGACGACTCAATCCACAGTGAACGGATTAAACTTGACCTCCAGCCCTCTGGGGTGATCGTCGCTATGATGCTAATCATGAACCCGAAGCAGTAAAAGGGCGAAGTAGACTGAGGTCATTCTGAATCAATTCATGGGGCCCGGGGAGTCTTTGGGAAAGGCTCTATGCAGCGCATGGCCAGCCGCTGCATTGATTGACGGTCGGACAGACGGAGAGCGCCCAACATTGGGTCGTCCGGCGCACAGTAGACAAACCTAAGGGCGCAACCTTAATGAGCGGTGGTTCATAGCCAGCACCCGGCGGGGAATGAAGACGCCAGCTCAACGGCGATGCATCACCTAAACGGACAGGGCAGTACCTGCAGGAGGCAAACACGACTGATTTTCGAGACAGATAAGTTACAAAGTGGACCACTGAATCGCGCTGTCTGGGAGCGAGTGGAAAATGCGGTGTACAGGCCACCACTCAGTCATGCCCGAGAAGACAACACTACCTATGTTACCGCACTCTGGCCAGGGAATTTTCCGACCGTTGCGAATGATGAGGGATCACATCGATTCTGGATTTGTGCAGCTCTGGGGGCTCTTCGCCCTCTCGTTTGGCGTTTCGATGTCCAAACACCGTCCAAGCACCATCCTGGATACTAGAGCAGCAAGTCACCATTTTAAGGGCGAGCCCATTAGGCCCAGGCAGCCTCACATGATCGATTCTTCATGCATGACAACGCAGCTCACATGGGGGTGAGGTGCAGCAACTGCAGATAGGACTTTGGGGAGGGGAAAGGGTGTGGAATACCCTGTCAATTCGGTACAAAGCTAAACGTACCATGTTTTGCAAGCCGTATTACCGCTGTATGGTAACTTACCGTCATCATACCGCCAAATTTCGGTATGACATCTGGCTCGATTGATTGATTGACCAAACAGCACTTAATCAGGGTATGACGACCTGACTGATTCCGATCCAGTCAGGCCCACTTTCATTGACCGGCTCGACTATGAGATCGGGGGCCCGCAAGACTGGAATCATGGCGTGGTCATTCTCAACGAGTTCGCTGCACCGTACAACCGAAGCTTGCATCAAACATAAGAGAAAATACGGAAAAGAAAAAGCAGGACCCATATGGTTACGCTGGGCCGGGTCTCTCAGATAGGCTTGATCTGTTTGTAAGCAAGACAGTGCGTTGATTGCGTCGAATCGAGAATCATATCCCTCACCCCAGTCGGATCCTGCCACGACATACTCCCTCCCATACACAACAGATGGCCAGATGACTAGTGTCCTGAGATATGCATCCAGAGGCGGGGAAAGGGTGAGGGGCAAGCTACACATGCGTGTACCCTCGCCGTGTGTAGTACCTGGGTCGGTCAGATAGGTACCTAATTCGTACCCTATGGGGGAGGGAGTTGCTGAAGTGGCAAATCAGAGAGGCCCACTGAGATAAAAATTGGTGGGAGAAGTTGATCTTATTGGTGGAGGAGGCGGTGGATATCTGTGTTCTTTTGGGAATTTCATGCATTAGTTCAGAGGTAGTTCAGAGGTATAGTTCGGGCGTGTTGGGGAGAGGTGTTCTTTAGACTTGAGGATGCACGGCTTACTCCTTAGTCCGTAGTGTAGCAGGACAGCTGGAGGACTGGAGAAAGAGTCGAATGCTTGTCCTTGAAAGGTCACTGCAAGACCTCTCTCTCGTGCTTATACTCTGGGAGTGCTGTACATTCGCAAAATAAGGAGATGGTACTTTTTACCTCTGCTATGGCAACGTCATATGCTGTTTATAGACTGCAGTTGGTCGGTTTGGACAGTTTCTGTGTAGCAAGTCGATTGACTGCCTGAGGCCCGGAAGTGACTTCTACTGAATACCAACTACCTTATCACTGAACCATGTCCAGCAGAGGAAGAAGCTCAAGAATGAACCACCACTTCCAAAACTACCAGAAACCGGATTGATATCTATACCACCCCTCAAAACTCAGACCTCAACATGATACTACCAAGGCTTTCCGCGCATGCTTGCTCCAAAGTTGGGCTCCCTTCGCTACTGCATCGGCTTAGAAGGCCATTCGAAGGGTGCTTGTTGGGTGCGCGCGCGTGGATCTCTTTTCTGCTGTGAAGATTAGGGGGGCTGGGTGGCTGTGGGATTTACATTTATGCTGTTCATGCATGTACCGAGTAGATGCTAGTTGGGCTATACATGCAGCAAGATGTGGAAAGGGTGGCGGATGAGGATATATAGGAGGACTGGGGGGGGCTTCCCTACATCTCTAATTTACATGTCTAGTATGGAGATGTGAGCTTGTCCGTTCGGGGTCCTTGAAGCTGGGAGTATGTCCTCGTAAGAATTGGATGGAGCTGATATAGCTTGGTTCTGCGAGTTCGACATGGGCGACAATTTTGGCAATGGCATGTCTGGAAGGATGGGTGATGCTGGGTGTGTAGGCTGTTGCTTTCTTCCTCCCTGTGCTTCGGAGTTCTCGGTGCACGCACCGCGTGAGGATATCGTGATGAAGAAGCTGCTTATAATTAGACTAGCGTGTCTCTTGTCTTCCAAGTTGTAGGCATATCCGAGAGCTGGACCTCATTCAAACAAAGTGTATATATGCATTTGAGTCTACAACTCCAGCTTACCCCTTGCCAACACAACACAACTATATCCGTACCCAACAACACACCCCCGGTCCGTCGCCTGGGCTTGAACGACGTAGCGTTTATCAGTCCACATCTTGTGCAGACTTAATCCGCACCAGCATAACCGATCACCCCCGAGATTACACTATGTAGCTTCCTGCTTCTTGACTATGTGCAATGATGGTTCGGTGGCCCCTAAACGGTTC